CACTCTGTCGCCCAGGCTGGAATGCAGTGGTGCGATCTCAGCTCACTGCAAGCTCCGCCTCCCGGGTTCATGCCATTCTCCTGCCTCAGCCTCCCAAGTAGCTGGGACTACAGGTGCCCACCACCATGCCTGGTTAATTTTTTGTATTTTTAGTAGAGACGGGGTTTCACCGTGTTAGCCAGGATGGTCTTGATCTCCTGACCTTGTGATCTGCCCACCTCAGCCTCCCAAAGTGCTGGGATTACAGGCATGAGCCACCATGCCTGGCCTTCAAATGTAATTATTCTTACCAGCAGATCCCACTTTCGAAGAAGCTAAAATTAGAAATTAAATTTGTTAGGCTAGGGTGACACATCCTCAAACCCGCTAAAGCAGGGATGTGAACCAGGAGGGTGTCAGACAGGAGCCTGGGGTATGGCAGTGGACACAGTAGGCCTGGGCTCATTCATTCAACAGTTGACCAGTGCCTCCCATGAGCCAGGCACTGTTCAGGGACCGGGAATACAGAGGTGCGTACTATAATCTCTTTAAAAATAATGTGTTCATTTGTATTTACTGCTCTTATCCATACAGCCTTCTTATTAGTACATATGTACAGAGGAATGTCTGAAATATTATTTATCAGATATTATAGGTAGAAAAATGGAGGTGATCTGTGGCTTTCATTATTGCTTGAGTTTTTAATGTAATAAGCATGTGTTAAATTCTGTTTTTAAAAATCCTCTAAACATTTTTTTTTAAAGCCATAGCAGGGGAGTCCCATGATTGGTATCCCTAAGTCTGAGGTATGTTCCATTGTACATTGGAGCTTTGGGGAGCAGATGGAAGAAGGTGTCTGGTGAGTGGGACGTTTTAGTTTATGGAAGAGAAGGAAAAAATTCCCTGACTATATTGGTTTCATTGTAACTCTCCATCTGCTAGTGGAATCAAGAACTAAAAACTTACCAGTGGGCAGCAGTCAGCATCGCATGTCTTTCCTTTGCATCTGTGCCCACAGAGCTCCTGATGAAGATGGGTGAGTACAGGGAAGCAGCTAATCTCACCCCTGCTGCTCATTCCTGAGAATGGGGGTGCTCACTTCTCTCTGAGTGTGGGAGTTGTGCACATTTCTTCTGCCCAGGAAACATACTGAAGAAAAAAAGTCTGTTTTCTTAAACCTTCTTTCTTGCTTTCCCAACTTCACCACCACGGCAGCCCTCTTCCATTCACATAGCTCTGACCGAATATTCTCAGAGAGTTAAGACAGTTACGGTTGGAACTCTCTGTGTCTGGCCCTTCCTTCTTCCCTGCATCTTTAGTCCCCAGTCAGGAGGTCTAATGGTAATATCCAGTGATTTTTCTAAAGAGGAATCAGTGATTATATTATACAAGGGGTGTGTGTGTGTATGTGTGTTTTGAGTGGTGAATACAGAGCAGGGGTTAGGACCATAAGAAATAAGAGAAATGGAATGTGGCATGACTGCTGCCAGTTCTGATAGTTTTGAAATTGGCAATTTAAAATAAAGTAGTTGGTTTACTTACTTAAGCCTCACATCTTAACCATCCTTCCTTGATCTGGAGTTCCTATCACCTACCTTTATCAATAAAAATGCCTTGAAAATGAATCCTACTGTGTTAAAGCATACAGTTAAGTAGATAGAAGCCCATTGCCTGGGATGAAGTCCCAAGCCTGCTCATTACTATATATCCTTAGGGAGGTTACTCAACCCTGCTTCAGTTTCCCCTCTGTAAAGTTAGAAAATGAGTCAGTGTGAAAATTAAACAAATTAATACATTAGGCAGGGCGTGGTGGCTCATGCCTGTAATCCCACCACTTTGGGAGCTGAAGCAGGAGGATCGCTTGAGCCCAGGAGCTCAAGACCAGCCTGGGCAGCAGAGAGAGACTGTGTCTCTACAAAAATAAAAATAAAAAAACTACCTGGGCATGGTGTTCGTGCCTGTAGTCCCAGCTATTTGGGAGGCTGAAGCAGAGGATCACTTGAGCCCAGGAGTTCCAGGCGTGAGCCATATTATCACTGCACTCCAGCCTCAGCAACAGAGTGAGACTCTGCCTGAAAAAAAAAAACTAAAAGTATTTGGAATGATGCTTGGCACCAGGAAGTGCTCATTAACATTAGAAACTATCTTCATGCCCCACTGTCTTCCCCATACACCATAGTCTTGCTTCCATCCCCACACTCCCCCATCTCTTGCTTATCCCCTTGAGCTCAGACTCATTCAAAGCCTCGTCAAAGGAGTCTCTCTGCTACAGAAGATGCTACTGACTACTTATAGGACATGTCTGTTTTACTCCTGTGCCACTGACTCTTCCTTCCTAGGCTTTTTTGTGGGTTCCTTTCCTCATTCTTCATGCTCTCCATGATTTTAATGACCACTTATTTATTCCTGACTCCCAAATGAAAACCTAGTGTATACTTGTGGAACTTTATGTTTACTCATCACTTGCTTGACAAAAGTTTTTAGATTTCCCAGAAGCACCTGAAACGCAACATATAGAAAAGAGACAGTTTTCATTCTGGCTACTCTTACATTGGATCCACAGCCCCAAGCCCCCTACCATTGAGGTCCCTAATTCATTTAATGGCTTTCTCATCTTCCTAGTCACCCACACCCACCACCTAGGATGCAGCCTTGATAACATTCCTTTTACTTAATTCACAATATCCAACTAATCACATCCTATGTATTTTAACTCTCAGACATCTCTCAAATTTGTGCCCTCATTTTCATACCTATTTCTGTCTCTGTATTAGATTCTGAGCATCCTTTGCCTAAATACTGCATCTTTTACCTAAATGCTCTCAGCTGGTCTCTCTGCCTGAAGTTGTTTTTTTTTTTTCTCTCTCTCAAGTGTTAGTTCTCCATAGATCTGCCAATTATCTATATCACCCCAAATGAAACTTCTTACTGCATTCTGGATAAACTCTAAAATCTTCAACATAGCACACAAAATCCCTTCTGGTCTGATTCCTGCCAATCTTTCTAGCTTCATCTCCTGTCACTCCTACTTAAATGACTGCTCTAATCAGTATTTATAGATTTTATAATTGATGATTTGGCATCCATTCATCACCAGGCCAAACTAACAGCCAACATTGTTTACATTTCCCCTGTGGCCTGGCTTTTGAGGGTGTGCCTAAATCATATTACAAAGCTTCCTAACACAACCCTTAACATCTGTGTTTCACTTCTTGCCCAATCAAAAATGTCTCTATCTAGCTACTTGCTGACACATTAGTAATAAAGGCAGAGTCCCAGTTCCTCTCTTTTTTTCTTTTTTGGAGGCAGGGTCTAGCTCTGTTGCCCAGGCTGGAGTGTAGTCGCATGTGATCACAGCTCACGGTAACCTGGAATTCCTGAGCTCAAATGCTCCTGCCTCAGTCTCTCAAGTAGCTGGGACTGCAGGCATATGCCACCATGCCTGGCTAATTATTTTTTAATTAAAAAAATGGTTTTTTTTGCAGAGACAGGGTCTCACTATGTTGCCCAGGCTGGTCTTGAATTCTTGGCCTCAAGTAATCCTCCTGCCTTGGCCTCCCAAAGTGCTGGGATTAATAGCTGTGAGTCACCAGGTCCAATGCCAGTTCCTCTCTTTTTCCTTGTCCCTGTGCACGTTGAGGTTTTGTGTGGCCCTGAGTGTTATCAAGCTAAATGACAAGCAGAGAGGGAGGCTCTAAAAGAAAATAACATTTATTCACGAGTAGGCATTGCAGTGGGAATATGTATGCCATTTCACCTATGTGCACATTCAGGGAGGTGTAAAGGAAGACAAAGATTTTTAAAGAAAAAATGAGTCAGATTCCATAACTGTTTTGAGATAATTATCCTCGGCTACAAGGATCAAACAGCAAGGATAGCATCAGTAATAGGCTGGACAGGCAGTTGCTGGGTAGCTGTCCTCACAGACATATTTTTTGTGTGTAAGGTTGCGATGCCCTTTGTGCACGGTTGTGGTTTTTGCAGTCTTCTGTGACAGTTTTTGTCATCAGGCATTAGTGCATGAGAACCCTCCCTCCACGGCCTTTCACCAGCTCCATTTTTCTGATTTAAATAAATAAATAAATAAATAAAGTGACTCCATTTTGATTCTGACAACTTTTTCAATGGCAATGTGGAACTGTAGTAACTTTTTTCAATCTTTCAGTGACACTGACATCTTCGTGTCTCTACTCAGTCATACAATTAAATTAAATCATGTGTACATTTTAAAACAATGACAACCTGTTTAATGACAGAGACTGTGAACTGGGACCCTCGAGGTTGGCCACTTTTGGTGTTTTATTTGGGCCACAAGTTTTTGAATGCTTTCAATTACCTACCAAAATTCCAAAAGTGGAAAACTTCCCATAAAAACCTGCCTTTATTGCTTCTCTTGAAAACTGGAAGAACTGGCCACCTAGGTCCCACAACACCTACCTGGCTGAATAGGGTCGGCCCCACTTTCAGCAGAAATAACCTCTGCAGTTTTCAACAGCCCCAGCTCTCCTGGGCGTTGACTTTCCTAGTTGCTTCCTTTAATGCAGACGTTTGAGTTTGCAGCCCTAGATTGACAGTGTAGGGGCACTGAATTAGTTAGCTTTCCCACGCACATCATTTCTTATACTCATTTTCTTCTGCACAGCACCTCTTTTTCCTTTAACCACTCGCACATGCTAACTCGTTCTTCAGGACTCAGTTCGAATTTCCAGAAGCTTTTCTCTGAACTCATGATGGACTCTGCGTCCCATTATGTATTCCCGCATCGCTCCGCGCATCCATCTGGCACATCCCTTGCCACATTAAATTAAGATTAAATGTTTGTAGGATGCTTGAGTTCTTCACAAGTCTCACGTCACTTAGCGACGGTCAGGAAATCCTCAGTGGTAGTTTCGGGAGTCATTCATTTTATTGATTTCATCATTCTTTCAACAGCCATAACGTACGTGACGACGACTGACTCGTATCTTCAAAGATGTGTGTGTCCCTCGACCAATAACCTGTCTGCCCCTGTCGTTCTGCAGGAGGACCGAGTACCAGAGAACTACAACTCCCATCAGGCACTTGGGGATCACCGCGGCTGAGGGCGAGACTAAGGCTTAGGAACCACCATTCGCGTGAGGCTCTGCTCCCTGCGCCTGCGCAGAGTGCAGGGCCACGTCGCTTTTGCGGTACCAGAGACCACGCGTCTCATCCATGGCTTCCGCGGACTTGCGCCGGGTGGCAGATGGCGGCGGTGCTGGGGGCACCTTCCAGCCCTACCTAGACTCCTTGCGGCAGGAGCTGCAGCAAACGGACCCAACGCTGTTGTCAGTAGTGGTGGCGGTTCTTGCGGTGCTGCTGACGCTAGGTAAAAGGCGGCCGGTGGTTATGGCGGGTTCGGGGCAGAGGTCCGGGCTGAGAGAGCGCCTTGAGGGCATCAGGAGGGTGAGACCCACCCAGTCTACACCCCACCCTCTCGCCTGAAGCAGCGGCAGCAGCGGGGCGTTAAGGGAGATCCCGGGCGACCCCCGGAGTTACATCCTGGTCTTTGGGGCGCGGATTGCTCTTCGTCATCTTCCCTGTCATGCTTGAGTGCGCTATTCCCCACCTTCCGCTGTTCTCAGTGCAAGGATTCAGGGTCTTGACAGCAACTTTCAGCCTATACCAAGGTAGTGAGATCGCACTTGAGTCCCCAGTCAGAGTAAGGAGTGCAAAGAAAAGTTGACAGTTGACACGCCCGGCTCAGTGGGCCCCTAACAACAGCAATAGTAACCATTATGATAAAAGTCAGTTCCAGGTGAATGAGGTGTTTCATCACAGACTTCTGTGAATTTCCCCACCCCAGCCATGCACATATACTGATTGCCAAGGCGTAATTTCTGTTGTTTTTCTTTCTATTCCACAGTCTTCTGGAAGTTAATCCGGAGCAGAAGGAGCAGTCAGAGAGCTGTTCTTCTTGTTGGCCTTTGTGACTCCGGGAAAACGTTGCTCTTTGTCAGGGTAAATGATTTCATTTACACCCCTGTTAAGCTTAATAGAAAATTGTATAGCATCCCAGTATTCCTGTCATCTCATGGTTTATTTTCTAAAAGAAGCTGATGCTGGTAAATTTGAGAGTTACCAAATTTACTTGACTTACTTGGGAGAACAGAAAGACTCTTAGAAACCCATAATTGAGAAATGTTGATCATTTTTCCTCTTTTTTCTTTCTTTTTTTTTTTTGCCCTTGCCAGATGCTGATATTTAGTCTTTATCACATTTAAGGGTTTTATTTAATTAGTTTCATTCCAGAATAGCAGAAAGCACAGAAGCCAGTGGTCTACAGTTTATCATTCCTTGGTTAACAAATTCTTATGAGAGTTTATCAAAGACACTTTTTCACAGGATGATCCTTCTTTGACATAGTGGGCTAGTTAGCTTCTTTTTACTAATATTTATTTTTAATACATTTAGTATTTTTAACAGTGTGTTTTAACATGGTGAATAGGAGAGGTTTTCTGCTTTTTAACTTTTCTTTCTGAGAGTATAAATTATTTCCCTTCCATTCAAGAAATAGCTCAAATCTTTTTTTTTTTTTTTTTTTTTTTTGAGGCAGGGTCTCGCTCCAATGCCCAGGCTGGGGTACAGTGGCGAGATCTCCGCTCATTGCAGCCTTGACTTCTGGGACTCAGATGATTCTCCCACCTCAGCTTCCGAGTAGCTGGGACTACAGGCGTGCGACACTAAGCCCGTCTAATTTTTTATATTTTTTGTAGAGATGAGATTTCGCCACATTGCCCAGGCTTCAAATCATTTTTGATGGTTAAAAATCTTTACAGAAGATTGGGAAATTTGGCCACTAACTGTCTTTTGAGAATAATGTTATTTTTATACCATTAAGGAGTAAAATTTGCAATTAATTCGATTTTTTTTTCTACAGGTAAAAAATATTAATATGGTCTTTTTCACCTATTGCAAGCAGCATTCATTTACTTAACCTTACACCTGGGAGACTTAGAATAATATAACTCAATTTTGGTTTGCTATTAAAATGTTGAATATCTCCCATCTTGTTTTTTTTACAGTTGTTAACAGGCCTTTACAGAGACACTCAGACTTCCATTACTGACAGCTCTGCTGTATACAGAGTCAACAATAACAGGGTAAGATGTTTGTGGAGTTTTGGAGTCTGACAGTCTTACTTTACTGTGGTGTGTCAGTTAAGGACATTTTTAGGATGAGTTCATCTGAGGATGTAAGTACCATTTGTAGCTTATTTTTATGGAGAAACATATTCTTTGTGACAAATTCTGCTCTTGACAATCTGTACAGTAGATTTAATCATGCCCTCCTCTGCATTGTTGTACCTTAATGTACAGTAATGTTATATCACATTTTATTCTTATTTTTTGTTTCTGTGTCTTCTTTCCAACTTTACAGTGAGTTCTTAAGAGTGGGCATTAAACCTTTTATGTTTTGAATAGGTAATACATGCACGTGGTACAAAAATTCAAAAGGTTAGAAAGGATATTTGGTGAAAAGTAATTTTTGCTTTCCGTTCCCCACTACCCCGTCTTCTCCTTAGAAGCAGTAACTTACTTTTTTTGTGTGTAGCCTTCCAGATGTTCTGTGCTTATATAAACATGTCTGTATATCCTTTATTGTTTTTTCTTTTTAAATACTGTTCTGCCCATTATTTTTTTTCATACAGCTGATACGACTTGGGCTTTTCTTATTCTCCTATATTTGTATACGTAGTACCACCTGGTTGGTTTATGAGCTGCATAGTACTCCACTCTGTTGCTATACCACACAATTAAATTCTTACTTAATCAGGACCGTGTTAATAGACATTTAGTTTTGTTATCATAACCTTTGTTTTTACAAGCAGTGCTGCAATGGATATCTTGCAGAGTATATAGGAGTATATTTCAAATATAAGGAATCACGGGTCCTGGCTTGGTGGCTCATGCCTGTAATCCCAGCACTTTGGGAGGCCGAGGCAGGCAGATCGCTTGAGGTCAGGAGTTCAAGACCAGCCTGGCCAACATAATTAAATCCCGTCTCTACTAAAAATGCAAAAATCAGCCTGGTATGGTGGCGGGTGCCTGTAATCCCAGCTACTCGGGAGGCAGAGGCATGAGAATCACTTGAACCCGGGTGGTGAAGGTTGCAGTGAACCAAGATTGTGCCACTGCACTCCAGCCTGGGCGATAGAGCGAGACCAAACGAATTGTAATGCGTAATAAGTTTGTTTGTTTATTTGCTTATTTTTGAGAAACAGTCTCACTGTGTTGCCCAGGCTGGAGTGCAGTGGCGTGATCTTAGCTTACTGCAACCTCTGCCTTCGGAGTTGAAGCGATTCTCCTGCCTCAGCCTCCTGAGTAGCTGGGATTATAGGCACCCACCATCATGCCTGGCTAATTTTTGTATTTTTAGTAGAGATGAGGTTTCACCATGTTGGCCAGGCTGGTCTTGAACTCCTGACCTCAAATGATCCTCCCACCTTGGCCTCCCAAAATGCTGGGATTACAGGCGTGAGCCACTGCGCCCAGCCATGTAATAAGTTTTGGTGAGTGAGTGGAGTGAGGGCTGGTTGGAGGGTGTGGGTGGATGGATAGATGGATGAATTAGAATTGTGATTTGAGACCTTTTCTTCTTCTCTTTGTCTTCTTTCCCCTTTCTCAGGCCTCCAGAATTAAAGATTGTAAAGAAAGATAAAGGGACATATTTGTAAATATCTTAGAGAGAGATATATATTTTTTTCAATGATGACACTCTTTGTGGCCCAGACCTTTCTAAACTCCCAAGGATTCAGATTTTGAAATTCCAGGTTTGGAAGGTCATTTGGTACCTGCACTAGATTTTTAACGTAGGATATTCTAGGATACACTTTAGATCTGTACCTTCTAATATGCAGCCAATGGCCACATGTGACTGTTGAGCTATAAACTAGGACTAGTCCAAATTGAGGCATGCTATAAATGTGAAGTACACACCAGATCTTGAAGACTTAGTATGGAAAAAAAGAATGTAAAGTATCATTAATACTTTCTTTTTTTCATTACATGTTAAAAGGTAATATTTTGGATATATTAGATTAAATAACTATTAAAATTAATTTTACCAATCTCTTTTTACTTTTTTATTATGGTTACTGGAATATTTAGAATTACATATGTGGCTTCTGTTAGTCTATATTTCTATTCTATCTCTATTTCTACTGAATATTTAGAGCATTTTTCCCTTCCTTCTTCACTCTTCCTCCTACCCCCTTACGTTTTCGATCTCATCTCTTTAGACAATAATGTACCTAGTAATGTATCTTCCGAATTGCTTAGGGTATGTGGTGTAGTGTTGCTTTTGAAATGGAGCAATAAGTCCCAACCTGGGGTCTCCAGACTCTTAACAGTCCTTAAAAAAAAGAGAGGGACTAATAAAAAACATTTATATTTGTCTATAAAGAAATGCACAGGCTATGTGAAAGGTAAGGTCATAATAAACCCAGCTGGAATTGTGTTAAACCTGTACAGATTGTCTGCTTCTGAACTGTGGGTATGGTTGGCTGTGGATAACGTAGAACATCTAAGAAATGATCAGTGGGTCTGCTGCATGTACCAGGCCACATCTGAGAGTCTTATTGTTGAGCACAGCCACAATTGCACTGAATATAAGCTCTATTCCCATTCCAGGCCTTGACCTTATATTCAAGAATGGCGGCCTGGAATGGTGAATAGAACTTACTAGGGTGCATCATAGATTTGCTCAATAGGGGCTCCAGAATTGATACAAATACTGATCGAGTTGGAACAAATAAATGATGTGTCTGGAAGATAAATATTTTAAAAATTAGATTAAGCGTGGAAATGATTAAAGTGTACTTTGTTATAAAGATTGGAGATCCCAGTAAGAGTAATAAGCTCTATGAAAAATTGTAAGTTCTTATATTACATTATTAGTTTATGAGTATTTGTTACTGTTTTCACATTTTTGCTTATATTCATACTGTACTCCTACTTTGCTGTACTCACACTGGTTTATCTCCCAAGCTGACTTAGGTAGATCATGCTTCCCTGACACCCCCAGACAGGCTTCTCCTGTACCCTCAGAACATTTATCAACGTTCCCATTTTATATTTATGTGTAATTTTACTTTATGTTCACCTTTCTCATAAATTTTGCTAGACCAGGAACTGTGTCTTTGGCCACTGTTACATCCCCAGAACGTTGACTAGTGTTTTATGAGTAGAAGATGCTCTGTGAACATTTGTTTGATTAATTGATTAGGTACCAGTCTGGTAGCCAAAATATGATACTAAAGGTTTATACTGTGAACGTGGAACTCTACTGAAACATTAATGTTATTGCTGCCATCCCCAGGGCAATAGTCTGACCTTGATTGACCTCCCCGGCCATGAGAGTTTGAGGCTTCAGTTCTTAGAGCGGTTTAAGTCTTCAGCCAGGTAAGAAGGAAAGAAGTGAAATGGGCTTGTCTAGGTCTGTATCTGTATATCAAAGCCACTCATGTGATTTGCTCTGGTGGTGTTTGGGAGGCAGCTTGGTATCCTTTGGTAGGCCTTGAGGCGACCTTGGGGTCAGCCAGTTCTGGCTTGCAAGTCCACCTTCACCTGGATTATGAGGATTTTATGGGATTAAAATGCTTAAAAAGTGTTTTTTAGTGTTTAGGAAATGTTAACCCTTGTCATTGTTACTAAATGTTTGCATTTATTCTGAAGATGAATTTAATAATGTATATGACTATTAAAATCTGAAAAAAGAATTTTAAAGCTGGGCTGAATCCTAGAAGTTATTAAATGCCAACATCATTTATATATATAGTTTTTGGTTTTTTTTGAGACAGAGTCTCATTCTGTCGCCCTGGCTGAAGTGCAGTGGTGTTATCTTGGCTCACTGCAACTTCCACCTCCTGGGTTCAAGCGATTCTCCTGCCTCAGCCTACTGAGTAGCTGGGATTACAGGCACACGCCACCACACCCTGCTAATTTTTTATATTTTTTATATATTTAGTAGAGACATTTCACCATGTTGGCCAGGCTGGTCTCGAGCTCCACTGGCCTCGGCCTCCCAAAGTGTTGGGATTACAGGCGTGAACCACTGCGCCCAGCCCATATATATTCTCAAAACCTAAAATTGATGTTTCAAGAAGTACAGAACAGTATTTCCATATTTCTTTTAGTGTGTGCCCTGGTGTTATTGATTCTTAAGTTCTTCCCTAAAAGTCTTATGCTGCAGTTTCAGATGCTTCTTTTTTGGTCTCTAACATTAATAAAAACTGAAGAGGAAATCAGTATGCCACATTTCACTGATTTGAAGACACATTTTATTATCTCTGAATTTGGAATATATCTTACAGTTGATGGTGTCATAGTTTAATTGGCAATATTTTCTCTTAGCAGTCCCTAAAATAATGTCTTTTAATTGGCAGCATTTTAGTTTTGATGGAATGAAGTAGTTGATTCTTTGCCTTTTATTGAAGATGGCTAGACTGAAATTTCATTATTGCATCTTTGCCCACAAGATGGTGGTGATGAACAATTTGTCACAGATAAGAATGTGATTTTTATTCCTTGGATAATTGAGACAAATCTAGAACTGGTAAATTTTGCCATAATTGGGTTTTTATTTCCAATTAATTTTTTTTTCTTTTTCTATTGCCAGTTCTAAATATTTTATGATTTGCAGTATAACTACTCTGTGATTCATGTATTTTGGGTAAATAAAACATGTAAAATATGAAGATAAAACTTAGTTCAAATACATTATAATAATGATACATGCAAGTTGAAAAGACATTTACTATATTGGTATGTGACTTTTTTAAATTCTGCTGTCTTGCTTTGCCAGGTTTCCCTAGTGGCTATTTTCCCTCTCCTGATTTGAACATATGCTATTGCTGTTCTTATCGTCATCCCCTCCCCCACTTTTAAAACATTGCTTATTTGAGTGTCTGAAACCAATAATAGCAGTTTCCTTTTCCTGAACTTGAAACACTCCAACTTTGATCTTCCTCACATCTTCCTTTTATTTATGTTCCTTTTTAACCCCCAACCATACTTTTTTTTTCTCTTACATTCAGTGATAAGAATTACCAGGATGTTATGTTTATGGTCTTTTGCTCCCCATTGCTTCTTGAATTTTACTTCTCTTTAGATTCAGTTTTCTCTCACTGAGTATATCTTTTAGAAGTGTTTCCAGAGAGGGTGATGAGTAGTCAAATGTTTTCAGTCTTTGTTCATTTGTATCTCTATTTGGCCCGCATTTTGGAATGACTGTTTTAGCTGAGTGCAGAGTCCTGGGTGGCAGCCGCATGACTCCTGACATCATTCATCTGTTGCAGATGAGAATGCTGTTGCCAGTCAGTCTAATTGTCATCTCACTGTAGTAAGTCTGCCTGATTTGACCCATCCAGGGATAGATTTTCTTCTGTTTAAGGATGGATTTAGCTTTATCATTCTTGGAATTCGGGTGTGCTGTTCCAGACCAAAGATTCTCCTCAGTTTTGGAAAATTCTCACCATCGTTTCTCCAGGTAGTGCTGTTTCCCCCATTATCATTTCTCACGCTCTGGAAATCTTATGAATGTTATTGAACCTTATTATTCTGCCTTTCTTATTTCCTCTCTATCATATCTTACAAATCTTTCTACCTCGCTTATTGTAAGATTCCCTCAGATTTGTTTTCTAGTTTATTATACTCTTTTCAGCTGAGCATAATCTCTGCTTAACTTTTCCATTGATTTATTAATATCATTTACTATATTTGTCTAAAATACTTACCTTTTCAAACCAGCCTGTTTCTTTTTATATTATTTTATTCTTTATTGTAGTTTGTAGTATTTTCTTAAATAATTTTAAACATTTACTTTATAGATAGATAGCTTTATTATCCTAGTTTTGGGGTGCTGATTATTCTCTTTGGGGTGCCAGTTATTCTCCTTCATAATTATTTTCTTCTGTGCCTTGTAATTTTTGATCCAGAACCTTTCTTCAAGAGTGACACATCATTGATATTGTGGTTGGTCTTCTTTAATCCTGTAGGATATGAAAGCCTTGCTCTATAAGCAGTTCATAATTCCTTCTGTTGGGGCCATAGGGCTTCAATAAGTCTGGCCCAATTTTTACGTAAACCTTTCCCCTTGCAGGTCTTATACCTGGAGACTATAAATTCATACCCTGTATCTGTGGGAGGCAGTGGAGGCCTGGTGTTTCTAAGGGAACTTTTTTTGCAAGCCCCGACCTCCCTAAGACTATTTTAAGTTGTAGGCTTTGTACAGGGCGTTCGGTTCTAGCTCCCTAGCTGCGTGTTGGCCATTGCATGTCTCTTATCTCCACCTGGGCATTCAAACCCTTGCCCATAAGGCTGGTATTTTGTTGTTTTTTTTTTTGAGATGGAGTCTCGCTTTGTCGCCCAGGCTGGAGTGTAGTGGCATGATCTCCGTTCACTGCAACCTTTGCCTTCTGGGTTCAAGCAACTCATCTGCCTCAGCCTCTCAAGTAGCTGGGATTACAGGCTCCCGCCACCATATCTGGCTAATTGTTATATTTTTAATAGAGATTGGGTTTCATCATGTTGCCCAGACTCGTCTCGAACTCGTGACCTCAAGCGATCTGCCCGTCTCAGCCCCCCAGGTGCTGAGATTACAGGCGTGAGGCACCACACACCCAGCCCCCTAAGACCTGTTGTCTACCGTTTCCCTGGGCTGCTGCACTTTAGCTTTGATATTTCTTTTTTTCTGTCACATGAGGGGTCCCACTATGGCTGTGTTAAGTGACGCCCTACCTGGTCACTGTGCTTCTAGTTCAAGCGCCCTCTAAGATTGCTTTGTCTTCCATTTATGCACCAGTATTCTTCATAAGACAGAAAAGCATGAACTCCACAGGTCGTTGTGTCACACTTCGCTGTCTGACTCGGTTCTCCTTCATTTCCCCATCTCCCTGTGCACCAGCTTACCTTGACTTCCCCAGGGAATTTGTTTCATGTATTTGTGCCTTGAACATACTGTAGACTGAGTATCCCTTATCCATAATGCTTGGAACCAGAAATGTTTTAGATTTTAGATTTTGGATTTTTGGATTGGGGATACTCAACCTGTACTTTCCAGACAGTCTGTGTCCCAATTTTTGGTCTAAGATTCAACTCAACTGTTACATTCTCCTTAAAGTTACCTTTGACCTGGTCTCATTTAAATGATCTTTCTCTTTATTACTGTTACACGTGTGCATAGTTCTGTCTTGGCATTTTTCTATGGTTCTCTATATGATGATTTGTCTTGGAGGACAGGCATCATTTCTTACTGTCTTTTTTGAGCTTCAGTCATTGATACACAGTAGCACTCAATAGTTCCTTGTTAAATGAGGATTTGTGTTGTATGATAACATATGCACAGACCTGCATGTGTGTCTGCTGAGTGTTAATCACCAAGACTGACTTTGAAGAAATTCAGGATAGTTTTTCAAGATAATGATGTCCTGTTACATGTTCACGTGCCAGTTTTTCTTTTTTTCTCCCACCAGGGCTATTGTGTTTGTTGTGGATAGTGCAGCATTCCAGCGAGAGGTGAAAGATGTGGCTGAGTTTTTGTATCAAGTCCTCATTGACAGTATGGGTCTGAAGAACACACCATCATTCTTGATAGCCTGCAATAAGCAAGGTGCCGTCATGTTTTCTTGCAATAATAATTGAGTTTTTTGGGGATTGCTGCTACTAAGAATTATTTCCATTATTTACAGTTGTTATTGAGGATGAGAGATAATTGCTATAAAGAACTATAAATTGAAGGATTTTTAATCTTAAAATTTATTTCTACTCCTACCTTTTCACCAGTCTTCTAACCAGAAGACCAAGGAATGACAACCAAGAGACTGCTAACTGATTTTTCTTTGATACGGTGTTTTTTCCAATTATAAATTATTTTACCTTACCAAGTTAGGTTCATCAGATTGACAATATGTGATATCAGATGCACAGTTTTGAAGGATGGAGTCTCTGCTTTCAAAGAAGTTTAACAAGTTTACTGTACAGCACATTTTTTTCCTTTTTTTTTTTTTTTTTTTTTGAGACAGAGTCTCACTCTGTCACCCAGGTTGGAGTGCAGTGGCACGATCTTGGGACACTGCAAACTCTGCCTCCTGGGTTCACGCCATTCTCCTGCCTCAGCCTCCCGAGTAGCTGGGACTACAGGCGCCCACAACTGCGCCCGGCTAATTTTTTGTATTTTTAGTAGAGATGGGGTTTCACCATGTTAGCCAGGATGGTCTCGATCTCCTGACCTTGTGATCTGCCCGCCTCGGCCTCCCAAAGTGCTGGGATTACAGGCATGAGCCACCATGCCCAGCCAAACTGCAGGTCAGCAGCACATTTTATCAAGGGGAGTTTGCTGAAGTTGTTTTCTTTTAACCTGATAACCATTGAAAACTTTCCAGTAATCCCCAATAAAACTGGGCTTCAGTTCGGTGACCTGTACAATAAGATAGACTGGTGGATCTCTTCAGAATTTCACATCTGAAATTCTGATTCTATGACGAGTCCAAGGCATTTCTCAGAAGTAACCAGTTAATATTGATAATGCCTTATCAGGAATGCAGTTATTAGCATCATTACCTGACCTCTTTATTTCTCTGATTGAGTATAAGGAAGGGAGTTATTGTTTATTTGCCATGGGCTTTGTGCCAAACCAGGGCTTGTTTCTTACCTTTAGTACACTTAATGCTTTAAACGTATCATCTTAGTATCAACTGGAAACATGCTAAGTTGACTTTTAAATGACAGGTAGGGCATTGTCTTTTGGTGTGTGAAGGCACTTCTCACAATCACAGCACTGGTAGGTTTTCTTTCTGTTAAACTGACTAAACTTACATGTGCATTGAATTGAAAGGTCTGTAAGGTATGAAGAACTTTAGTGAAAGCTAAAGTCAGTTTTAGGGTCACCAGCATAATATGTTTATAAGCATTATCTTGGGAAAGCCCCTAGTGCAAGTATAAAGCTTACTTTGATAGAGAAGGAACTAGTAAAAAAGGTATTTTTTTTAAAAAAAGAGAAAAGAAACTTGCTGGTTTAAGTAGGAATTTTCCTTCTGTGTAAGAAGTCTTGGGAAAAAACCCATTCTCATTTAAACTACAACAGTGTCTTTATTTCTTTACAGATATTGCAATGGCAAAATCAGCAAAGTTAATTCAGCAGCAGCTGGAGAAAGAACTGTAAGTGTGAAAGAGGCCTGTTGGTTAATTATATATCTTAACACTTAGACTGTAAGCAGCATATGCACGTTTCTTTTGTTTGGTTGTATGTGATTATCACAATTATAGACTGAAGATTAGTGTGATACATACTTGTTAAATAATTTACAAAATAATGGAATCACAGAAACTTACTGGGATGCTTATATTTTACAATTTCATGGAAAGATTTTTTTGAAACCATAAACTCAATGTATTTTACCATTGTTACTAAATCATTCATAGTTGAAAGGTTTTAGAAGCTAAAACATTTTACATGCCAACTTGAGAACGGTGTTATTTCAGTGAGTGGAAGTGTTTGTTCACCACTCAATAATGCATGTGGAGCGGTATTTAAGGATACATGTAAATAATAAAAAATAAAAACTGAGAATCAGGAAAAAAGAAATTAAAACATTTAAAAGCCACTTTGGAAATTATTATTGACAGAATAAGAACAGAACACCGAGGAAGACTGCAAGTCTTTGATACTATATTGTAGCTTCTTAGATTATTAAAGTACTTGGCAATATTATATATCCTGCTTTGAGTGTTTCAAAGTTTATAAATTGAGCTTTTGAATTTTAAGGCATCTAGCATGTCTCCTGTGTTATGCCAGTTTGTAAGAGCTAGCCAAAAGCTGGCTTAGAAGAAATGATCAACATTTATAGTAAAGCAAGTTATGTTTTCCTATTGCTTTTGTGTAAGGCCTTGAAAAGGATCTGATGAGGAAAAACTGTACAAATTCAACTTTTAGAATCTTGGCTCCTCACTATGATTTACTGACTCCCTTATTCATTTAAGAAGCACCTGTAGTGCATCTAGTAGATGCCAAGCCTGCAGTCGGGAGCAGCTGTAGGAGGAAATGTGTTCCTGTACTCAGGAGCTTAGAGTCTAGTAGAATCTAGTCAGCTTCGGGCATTGGCAAACTCCTGCCTGGGCGTGCAAGCCAAGAGTAAATCGACATTTTTAAAGGGCAGGTAGAAAACAGAGGAAAAATATGTGACAAAATATTTAATTTCTGGCTCTTTGCAGAACAATTCTGCCGGCCCTGCCTATGCCATTTTCAGTGGTTCCTTTCCCTCTGGAGCTGCGAGTTTATCACCCTGTCCTGGGCTCTTGATGCTCACTCTCTTGGATTGTATCTATTGCTTGCCGTTAGGTTAATAGGGACATTGGAACAATTCGATGGTTGGGTTTTTTCTAAAAATTCTCTTGCAATTGTTGGGAATTGTTTTGGGGAAGCCAAAGCTGTCATAATGTTATTTGTGAATCAGTCTTTGGTTATTTTTAACAGTACAGTCCAAGTCTTCCCCTGGTTAAAACACATTTTCCATAGGCTGTTTGCTTTTCACTCTGTAGACTTAGAGAAAAACAATACAGAAGGCAAGCTTTATTAAAAGGCAGTGAAACGAAATGTTGAAAAGTTGTAAAGGTTAACATCAGTTAAAACTAGGAATCTGACTAATTTTAGTTTAATTTCAGATTTATGAGAATTAGGTCCTGTTAGCTTTGAGGCATTTCATAGTCTCTGAATAGCAAGGTATACTATATTTACATGGCCTTATGGCAAAAGCTGAATACATACTTTTTTTCCTTAAAAATTTTTTATTGTAAAATATCTTACATATGAAACTCACATGCATTAAGCTTAAAAAATATTAAAATGAGTACCTATGTACTCACCACCATGCCTAGAAGGCCCATTTTTCTCCCCAAAAGCTTTTCCCTCAGGAGGTTACCAATATCCAGTTTTGTATTATTTTTTAAAAATACTTCTATAGTTTGTGTGTGTGTGTGTTCGTTCCTAAACAAGGTATTGCTTAGTTTTGTCTGTGGATTCTTCACTAATTTTGAAGCAACTTCACAGAAAAAGAAATGCTTTATTTTGTAAGAAAGAAGATTGGCAGCATGCATTCCTGCTTCTGGATAGCAGAAAGGGAAGGGGAGGCCGGCAAATGAGTGTTGCTTATGCACCCTTTATTAGGACCAGCAGGTGGCAGTAAGGGGACTTACATTGGGAAGTTTTGGTGGTTAAAGAGGTTGGGTAATAGTAATTGTGCCCCAGTTAGATATGAGCATCTGGAGTTTGTGGATTTCTAAACTCCATATCCAAATAGACTCAAGATAAAAATACATACCCTATCTACCCACACTTAACTTTCAGAAACTTATGTTTTTATAACACTTATAGCATGTATTTTAAAAATATATTTTTAAATAGCATCATTCAGGAGATCCTCTTAGAAGGGGGCCCTGGGCTGGAAGAAAGTTGGTGTGACCTGGTCCACTGCTGACCTGCCCTCTAGCCCTGTGACGTCCAACCCCCTCCCCCACTAACCTACCTCACCTCTCTGTCCAAGAGAGGGACTTATAAATGCAAAGGATTATTCAGCAATCTTAATAGCATAATTGGCAATTCTATGGTTAAGTTTTAAATGAGTGCTGAAATGTTTAGAAACTAATATGATTTAATTGCTGTATAAAAATATTGCCTCCTGACTTGTTTCCTTTTGCCCCACAGCAACACCTTACGAGTTACCCGTTCTGCTGCCCCTAGCACACTGGACAGTTCCAGCACTGCCCCTGCTCAGCTGGGGAAGAAAGGCAAAGAGTTTGAATTCTCACAGTTGGCCCTCAAAGTGGAGTTCTTGGAGTGCAGTGCCAAGGGTGGAAGAGGGGATGCGGGCTCTGCTGACATCCAGGACTTGGAGAAATGGCTGGCTAAAATTGCCTGAGAGGCAGCTCCAAAGCACAAGACCCGGATGTGTGTGACACACAGTTTTGGAAAATGGGCAGTGGTAGTCTGGAGTTGATAAGGAAGGGGTACAAAATGTGGTTAGAAACATTTCCTTGTTGAAACAAAGTACTGTTGAAACCAGCTTGGAATTTTTTTTTTTTTAAGTTCATTTCTCCCTTATGGCTGCCTTTCAAACAAGTAAGTACCTTTTATTTGATGCCTGTATCTTCCCTTTGTTAAGGTTTAACTTGATGTAGGGTCAAGGTTTTTGTGACAAGCAGACTCCACACAGAGAGGATATGATGAGATATGGCCATCACCTGAAAAGTTCTCTTATCTTCTCCTTCTATGCTTTGGTCCCTTTCTCCTGGAAACAAACCTGCCTGTGTATGAAGCTAGTTGATTTCCAGTTGCCTCTGACGTTCACAGGCAAAACATTGTCTAGTCCTTTGCGAATTTCTCTGATTTGTGGGCACAGTTAACGAAGTTTCCCCGCATGTGAAGACAAGTACAAAATAGCAGAGCCAAGCAGACAGTGGGTCTGTTCTTCATTAGCTCAGTGACTTGTCCACACTCCAGTCTTAGCACTTATGTTTCAAAAGCTTGTCACAAACCCTTGGAGTCATTCCCAGATAACAGAACTGGACATGATAAATCCCCTAATGCCAAGGGTCTAGTGTGTTCTTAGTAGTTATACTGGGAAGTGTATGGAGATTTAGGTGCTGCTCTGCTTCTCTGGATGGCCGAAGGCTCCTGGGCCATCTTCATGTGCTGCTCGAAGATCTCCTATTTTGTACTCTTGGCTAGAATGCTGTGGAGCAAATACAAAGTGAAAAAAGTTCTCTGTAAATTTCTAAAGTGCATATTCATTGATGCCAAAAAAAAAAGTTGCCTTTTGAAGTGATGTTCTTTGCTGTCTTCTTAAACATGAGGCTTTTAAAAATGATTAGTATATTTTGTGGTAAAGAAAACAGGCTGTCTGGCTCAAAGCAATTAAATAGAATGGAATGGTGAGTACCAATGAGTGCACATGTCAGGATTCCGGCCTAACTCCTTGTTTCCTGAGCCTAAAGATTGCAACATACACAGGAACACACTCTCCTATTCCTACCTCACACACTCAAGGACAAGCCCAACTAAAGCTTACAAGGAGAGCAGGGTGGCTGTGTCCAGGTGAGAAGCCAGTTATGGAACAGTGCATTAAGAGCCATGGTAGGAGAGGCCCACAGTTCTCTGGAGCATTCAGCAGGGGCACCCCACTTGGCCTTGAGGATCAGGGGGAGTCAAAGGATAAAGCATGGGGCTGATGCCATCTGAGGGAGTGTGATCGTCCATGTACAGCCTCTGCCTGCTGTCTCACACGTCCCTTCTGGTGGGTCACTTGGGCTCTGGGAGTACACGTCACCTCAAACCATCTGGCAGAAATACTCCAGGCTCCCACCCCAAAGCATGTGTCAGCCTTGCTGCTGGAGCACGAAGACAATATAAATGAAACACGAAATGGAGAAGTCGTGAGACCCTGACCGAGTCCTTACTTGAAAGCTGCTGCTAGTGTTCTTAGTGTCTTTTGGACTCTATTTCTTGCCCTTTTCCTTATTAGGCAAGTAGTAACTTAGGAAGTAGGTAAGAGCAATGAATGTGACATGCTTACATAATCACAGTAGGAGCTCATGGGAATAAAAGTCAGTGGCTTGATGCTTTTGTTAACAGGCATGTGTCCCTCTCAGCCTGTTCTTTTTTTCTGGTTTAATATTTTACTTCATTGGAGGAAGCAGCACACCAGAAAAAGTGACTGAAGAAGGGGTGCAAGTTTGAATTTGATTCAAGACCTAAAGAAGGTCTTCCAGAAAAGGAAAATTCTATCTAGAACCACTAGTGGTCTCAAATGTTAGTGGGCGTCAGAATTACCTGCAATGCTTGTTAAACTGATCTGAGGACCTACTCTTAGACAACTTGATTCAATAGCAAGTCTGGTATTGCCTCAGCAATCTGCATGTTTAACCAGTCTTTTATCAGTCATGGGGCTCCTGCGCACCCCAAGAGATGATCTGGCCTGGAGTGTCACATGTGCCTTTAATGTTGTTTTTAAAGTCTCTTGGGGCACACACCCTGCGAGTTTTTCTAACAGGGTCGAGTCGGCAGGCATGGGAACTCTGACCTTGCTTCTTGCTCCTGCAGGCATTCTGTTCTTGTGGCTTTGGGCCAGGATGAGGTCATAGTGACTAGTCCTTGGGAACTGGGAAGGCTTTTGATGGGAGGTCAAATGTGCTCTCTCCACTCAGGTGGTGCCCTCTTGTGGCCCTGAAGGCATTCGACTAAAGTAGGCCCATTTTGTGAGATGGGCAGGTGTGGCCAGAGTAGAAGGATGGATATCAGGTCATGGAGACGGGCCGACTAGGCACCAGTGTATGACACAGATGAGACATTTGAGCTTGAAACACCTTAGGAACGTGGAAGTGTGTGGGCACCGAGACCTCCTAGGACAGCAGCTGCCTAATGCAAATGACCCTGTTCCCTGCTAAAGCTGAGGTGAGATGCTGTTGTGGAGGGAGCAGCTGTGATGAGTGAGCCCCGGGCACTCTGTTGGTGAATATGTCCACTTCTGGAATGGAATCTCCCAGTGGGTATGGACGTGGACAGACCCAGAGGGGTCTAGGCACTGCACTGTTTCTTCCTTTGGCTCCTCTCCAGCCCGGGCCTTGGTAACCTCCACTACCAGGTGCCTGACAGTCCACTGGGGGTTCCTAATCAACAGCAGCTGCTGGTGGTGGGGAGTCCCTGGGGTCTGTCACTTCTTCCCACTGCCTCTGTCTCAGCGCCTCCTGGGCTGTCAGTGTTCCCCTGTGGTCCTGCCTTGTATGAAGCACTGACCATGCTCTGTTGACTTAGATCATTTCAGCCAGTCTCTGCTTTTTCTTGTTTTTGAAGTTTTGGGTTCAGCACAATTGTCAAAGCTTCAGTGGGCTCATGCTTGTCCTCACCTGAAGGCCATCAGTGGCAATTAAGATGCCTATCTCTTTATCTCATCCCTTCACACATTTAAGGAAAGGTGATCACCACACCTACCTTCATTTAAATGCGCAGGAAAACAATCCCACTTACCTTCAACCATAAAGCTCACAAGAGCCTTGTACACATTCATCCATTGGGTAAATGCTACGCCTTGCAGCAGACCATGGAAATGCTAAAAAAACACAATTCCTGCTTTAGAGGCTGGTGGCCCGGTTCTGAGGTTAAGAAATGTGCCCTTTCAGTGTGGTTTCCCTACTCTCTCAGTAGTGTGAGCTCCATCACGGCTGCATTTGACTCCTAAGTGCTGTGTGGGCATGTGGTCGGCTGCCAGCCATGCAGCCCCAACAGGACTGCCACTTTTCCATTGGCCTCTGAAATGCCAGTGTTCCCATGATGCTTATGTGTGAGGCACATGGCCATGTTCTGTTGACTTGAATATTGTTTCAAGGGTTTTTTTTTTTTTTGTTCTGTTGAGACAGTCTCACTCTGTCGCCCAGGCTGGAGTGCAGCGGTGCTGTCTCAGCTCACTGCAACCTCTGCCTCCCGGGTTCAAATGATTCTTCTGCCTCAGCCTCCCCTAGTAGCTGGAATTACAGGCGTGTGGCACCATGCCTGGATAATTTTTAGTATTATTAGTAGCAATGGGGTTTCACCATGTTGGCCAGTCTGTTCTCAAACTCCTGGCCTCCATGATCTGTCCACTTTGGCCTCCCAAAGTGCTGGGATTACAGGCATAAGCCACTGTGCCCAGCCTGTGTTTCAAGTATTGAAATCATTTTGTTTCAAAAAAATTTTTTTTTTTAAATTTGAGTTTAGCACACAGTGACCTCCACTCTCGTACACTGATGAGGAGAACCATGCTGAGCAGTGTCGCTGAATGCCACACCGTGCACTCTAGGCAGGACCTTCACCACAGCTCTGCCATCGTCCCATCCATGGCTGAGGAATCCCAACAGCACTTCCTTAGTCTGCCAAAGGCAGGAACTGCTGGACAGCTGAGTGTGAATGCTGTCTCCAGTGAGACTACTCGCTTCCCTGTAGTAGTCTCACCATACATGTGAGTCGTGTGACATGTGAAGTCGTGTCACCATAAATTATTGGGGAATGACTGCTTGTCTCGGAACCACTTCGCTCAAGCCTTAGTCTGGCCCATGCAAGTACCTACTCACTGGCCCTCAGCCCTCTGTCTTGCCACATCCCCTGTACCTGCTCTGCCTCACATTTTACAACTGGCAGCCAGAAAAAGTAAGGCTTAGTAGGCAGGGACATCTACTTCTTGTCTCTTCTAATTAAAGATGGCTTCCTTGAGGTGGCAGCAGATTGGAGGGTGTTCTGGAACCTTTAGAAGCTTTAAAAGGGAGGTAATTAGTGAAGTTGGACTTGAAGAAGAGTGAGATTCCCAGGCTAGTGCAATTTACCTAATCTTGGCTTTTGTTCCTCTTTGGATTAGTCCCAGAACGGTGCTGGCTTTCTGAGCATCTTTTAGTCTCTAGATAACTGAGACCTGGAGGGGCCGCTCAGGGATGTTCCTAACTGGTGTGGGGTGGGGCTGGGGATGGAATATGGCAGCTAGATGTTGTCAAAGGTCATTATAGTTCACCTTAAGTTCTTGCCTTTAAATGGCTTTCTGAAAATCACCAGAAGCATAAGAGATCCAGTCCCTGTACCCTCTCCCCGCTTCCTAATCCCCGAGCCATGGCAAGCAGAGAGTGGGGATGAAGGAAGATACGGTACCCCTGACTCTCAGTTCTGCCTGGAGGCTCCCTTCCCATCAGCCTTTCAGCAGAATGGAGATTAGGGGAATGTGTGTGGATTTACTCTCATGAGTGTGTCCCACCTTTCCCCCTACGGGGTTGGTGGACAGCCCAGCTCCACCAGTAGAAGGAAGAAGCAAAGCGGCAAAGGGCTTTAGGTAGTGGACATACCACCCAGGCATGAGAAGAGGGACTTTGTGGAGCACACACTTGAGGAACTCTTGTTTTTGAACCCCCCATTTATGACTGCACCACTTAAACACAGACCAGAAGCGTCGTTTTGAGAATTAGGACAGTTTATTGTTTGACCAACATGCTGAGTCTTTTCCACATTTTACACAGTTTAATGTGAAATCAACATGGCGGCTATGTCTTCTGAGCCCATAACAGATGGAATTGCCACCCTCTGTGCTCCTCACAGCCAATCACTTTAAAGGAATGGGTGAGGGGAAAGTGAGGGGAGAAGTGGACACACACCGCGAGATGCAGGCTGGCCTTCGATGCTACGGAGGTTTCCCACCTCCTGAAGGAACCATCTAAACCCCTGCTGCAAGGATTTCCTGACGAAACCACATGCTTCTGGGAGTGCCAACCAGACAGGGGTCTGGAGTCCAAGGAGTTTGCACATTGAGATCCCAAGGTTTTGGAACACCTAAATAGTTCATGTCAAACAAAAATTCAAAGGGTGTCCTGATCTGTGTGGGTGCCCGTGACAATCAGAGTAGACTTGGGGACTGGCCCTTGTGCAGTAGAGGAGCCCAAAATGCCACTGATATTCTCACTCATATGCTGGGAAGAACCTAGTGTCCTAACCAAAGAGTAGAGATGGTCTGAGGAACACACCCACGCACAGCAGTCCTTGCTGTATAATAAACATGGAGTCACATTTGTTCACACACAGGGCAGCAATGGATGAAAAATGGAAACTTCACTGGTTCTGATCACTCCTATCCTAATAAGCAACTCGCCCTTCTCCATCCTGGTTTTCCTGCCTGTAGATAGGAAGAGTTGTGAGAGCTCTGCTTCACATAGCTGTAACAAGGTGACAATGCCTCACATTCTTTGGGGAGAGGTAGTTCGGAAACGAGTGGGCACACAGTCTGCTCGGTTGATGCACACAGACATCCTTCTGTTCAGCTGCCCCTCACGTGGCTCAGACACGCCTCACCGTCCTCGGCTACCTGGTCCCATCTCATCCTGACAATCCTCACCTGCCTTCCATCTTGTGAAGGAACGAGGCTGCTCTACCTGCGGGACGCCGAAGCCAGGAGGGCCATCCCTTTACTGTCACAACTGGTGCCCTCGGGCAGGGCCTCCCAGCACTGGCTAGCCACCAGGATGATGGAGACAGTGCACCCCAGATGTGTCTGCACTCTTAACTACCACCATTTCAATCCTTGTTTCTGTTGCCAGAGACACTGAAACTGGTCTGGCCATTGCTCCCCGAAGACCTGGGAACGTGACTGAATGTTTAAGGATGACAAGAAGAAGAGAGCAGCGATAGCAAGGAGGCCTCTGACCCAGGGAAACTGCTGCCAACAGCTACCAAGCCAACTAGCCTTGGATCAGACAACTGCAGCCATGGTGCTCATGATTCTGATGTCACACCTTCATGATGATGTATGTATGATCACCCAGCAAGTTAGGAGTGATCAGAACCAACGTGTTTCCACTTGTAAATAGGCTGTTTGCTTTTTCCATCTTACACTTAATTTTCCTGATGCCTGCAGAACAGGAGCTTTGTTGATAGCTTTTGAGATTTACCCCCCTCACTCCCATCATCACAAAAAAGGCCAAAAGAAGAGGATCCTGCTAATCTGCCAGGTCAGGTCTAGTCTTTGGGGAGAGGGACTGAACTGCTCAACTGAGAACACTTCCTCAAAGGAATCCTCCACTTTGCCCTCTGCTAACTCATCTGGATTCAGCAAAGATGCAATGCTCTTGCTGGGGTGCTAAGGTGATGCCATGACATCTTCTTCAAGAGCACCTAACAGTTTATTATGGAACCTTACTCTGTGCCAATTCGACCTGCAAGCAAGGGGACAAGGATGGTGCCTGCTCAAGACAAAAATCAGGGAACCAACAACTTCTGAAAAAGAGGTCTGGCTGCCTTTCCACACCCCAGGAATGGAGGGGCAGAAACCGCACCTGCGGAAGGGAGCGTCATAGAACTGCTGAGATGGGAGGACAGGAGGAAGCCACCCTCAGCCTCAGAGGCCAAGGGGCTGGGGAGAACCCAAACTCAAAGAGAGGATGTTGTGTGCATGCTAGGAAAGGCAGGACTCACTAAGGCCATGTCAAACCAAATGCTATCTTCTACTGCTCCTCTAGGCCAGGATGGAAAAACAGTCCATGGTGCCTTGGATGTGTGTGCCCATGAGAAGGGAACTGAGTTTCTACTGTTTTATAGGATGTTTTTTTAAAAAAGCTAATCTTTAGTGCCAAGAAAATAAAAATCTACCATATGTTCATTCACTGAGACCCAGTGCAGATCCCTGTAAATGGGGCGGTCTCAGAGGCCACAGGTGATGGCCCTCACTGCCAACCAGGCAGGACGCTGTCATGTGGACTCCTGTAAATTCTCTCGAGGTAAGTAAGCACTCTTCCAACAAGCACCACTTGGGGGTGTGCCCATGGTGGGGGGACACTGGCCCACACAGGCATGCACACCCGTGCATATAAAGTACATAGAGAAATGGTGGAGATATTCCTGTGGGCTATGTTTGCCTGTAGTTTAACACAACTATGCATTATTTTATTGATGGCAAGACAATCACAAGTTATTTGACAATATTAAGTATTTCTTATTTCAACACGTTGCAGTACTTTTGAATTTCCAAAACTTATCACAATGCAAGTTCCAACTTGAGAGCAGGAGAAACAAGAATATACATTGAGCACATGTATCTCCGTGAGGATGTGTTTGTGGAAGGTGTATACACAAGTCTATCTCTATACATAATTATGTACACACATATAAAAACTAAACACATGACATCTGAAACACATTCAAACATTGGTCCTTGCCTTCTGCAAGAGGTGTTCAGTGGGATCCTACTTCCTCTCTTCTTCACCTGAAGATAAATTCCTTGCTAGAGATGAGCTGTGGCATACAGCCTCCTAGGCAGAGGGTGTGTGGCAGGCCCACTGCACAGATATCAGTCCTGCCAGATTCTGCTGCACTTACTGCCTGCCATTTCAGATTAATTTCTGAGAAGTTTCAAAATTCATTCCAACAACCTTGTGGAGTTCAGCCCACCATACCCCAGATGGTCATTCATCCCATCTATGACATGCCCAGCAGCAGCCTGGAGGGAGAGCCAATGACAGCAGGGAGGGTGGGGTTTACGTTTTGGCCAGACTCACTGCCCATTGCACCTGGCTCTGTGCAGGCTCAGGGCGGTAAGTCTGAGTCTATTTGGAATGCTGGCCAAGTAGGTTATATCACTTAGTGGGAAGAGAGAGTTCTCTTCAGAGACTCTGCAGGTTCTCAGGACTAAACCACTCTCAGGAATGAATCAAAAATGGAAGAGATGGCTCTCTGGGGGCAAGTCCTAGTGCCCTGGGCAGCCTTCTGGAGACCCCACCTGAACTATACCCTCAGGTGACCACAGCGCAGCCACAGTAGCCAGAAAGATATGTCCACAAAGACTTCAACTGTGCCATGCCAGTGGGTAAAAACAGCAACAAATCAGCTTTTCCAGAAAGCACTCAACAGTATTAGCAGCTGAGGCTCTAAGAACATGGATCTTTCCAGGTGGTGGTTCTGCAGACAACACCCCCACCTCCCCAATCACAGAGGATCAACTCCGGCTGGTACAGGCTCCAGCTTCCCTGACATCCAGGAGGAAGGCTTCAGGATGGCACGCTGCCCAACATCACACAGAGTTTCTTAGACTTGGCCCAGGCATGTGTACTGACTGCTGGGTGGGCTGGTTAAAATATTTTCAGAACTACACATGGCACCCCAGTCTATAAACCATGCACCACGCAGCTGCAATTGCCAACAGCACCCCATCCTTCTGATGGCCTCTTGCTCTGCCAGTCCCTGAGGGCACAGAGAACACAAGGTTGCCTGTACCCTCAACCCCCTTCAAGGCTTTTCAGGGAAGGAGAAAGAGAGGTGGGAGCAGTTCCCCCTGGGGGCTGCTGCCAGGCTGCCTAGAGCCCCCAGGCCTTGGTCTCAGCTCCACACAAGGTTGACGACCCACTCTGGCCATGGAAGGACACAGTCAGAGCTACCTTTTCAGAGGCTGATGTGTTCAACCAATGTTTGATTTAAACGGAGTAGGGCCTGGAGAGTGGGGCCAGATGGCCCCAGACTGAAGCCTAATTAAGTTGCTCAGTTAATTGTTTTAATTTATTGGGCTGGGGATGGGAGGAAGGCAGAGGTGATGAAAGGTTCAGAGAGAACAGGAAGGAGGAGGTGTGTGGAAAGGTTCTCTATAAGTTTACAAATATACAAAAACAAAAAGCACATCTTTCAAATAAAAATGACTACATTTTTATCTGGCAAAAAATTGTATACACATGATTTAAATTTTTTTTAAATTTTAACAGTTTTTGGCAATCTTAATAAAGTACAATATATTACAACCAAACCAAAAAATAGTTGTTTAAGTAACAGCTGTTAAGAGTGATGTGATCCCTGATGCCCAGCCTCCCTCCCCATCCCACCCTACTCCTAGAGACAGAGAGAAAAGAAAAATCCTCCCATCTTGATAACTCGGTTCCCTCCCCCCTTAGGAAGCTAGCCAATAGGAAGCAACACAACAAGCAAGGAGTGTCATGGGAAGCCGCAGGTCGGCTCTGCATTAGCAGGAGCAGCCGCCCTCGCTGGCCGGGGGCTCCTGGGGTTTGTCCAGCTTGATGTCGATCACTGCAGGGGGACGGGCTAAGGAAGATGACTCTCCTGGAGAAGCTGCCACCCCACTCAGCCCTGTGCACTGTACCCTTCAGCTACTGCTCTGTTTCTCTGCAAACACCTAGGGACTTGGCTCTTGGTTTGGCTGGGCTAGGAAGGATGCAATACCAATTCCCACCTTGCCTCCTCTTCCCGTCACCCGTCTACTTCCCCCAGCGCCTGTCCACCCAAGCAAAGCTTGTCTTGCCTGGGCTGTGGGATCACCATCCATACCAAGGCCAGGGAGTCCCTTTCCCAGAAGCCTTCCCTTGACCAGTGCTCAAACACCAGCTCCCAGCCCTGGCCTCAGCCCGGTTACCTGTCAGCCCCACTCAAAGTGCAATGGAGATGAAGAGCCCGCTGGGTTCACATCTCAAAGCACGGGGGTATGTGGGCCTTGCCTAATTGGCAGCAGGAGGAAAACCCTCAAACTTTAGTCAGAACACATCACTTAGATCCTGAGGATGGCTATTGTGAGAAGCCACATCCATGGGGCCTAAGCACAGCCCCCTCGCCAGCCCTTTCCACTGGTGCCCTCAGGGGCTGTGGACTAGAGAAGCACTTACCAGAACCACCAGAGGGACTGGTTCCAAACGCACAGCCAGGCTGGCCCTCTGCCTTCCTCATCGGGCTCAAAACCAACACTGTGTTTGAGGTTTTAGCCTTGCATCAAACCAGACGTAATTAGAGCTGAGGATCAGGTCCTTCGATACCTCACAGAATTGCTCTTCCTGGACAGGGCTTTGGTGCCGGCTGTAGACGACTGCCCTGAGACAGGGGTGTGTGGGGTGTGGTGGTATAAGAAGCACTGTTTTGGAACTTCTTGCTGGCATCCTAGGATGCTTTTGTGGCTCCTATTTGAGGACAACAGGAGAGGTTCTTTTGGTTTAAGTATTACGGAAAGCCATGCTTCTCCTGAAGTTCACATTTTCTTTCCTTGTCTTGGCTGTGAGAATGCTCAGAGCCAACTTTTTGGCCACCTCTAACAACCATGCAGCCATGGCATATATTTTGAGTATGACTTTATCTCTGACTTTTCTTTGCTTTTCCTACCTTTATTCTCCCTGTGTGTGTGCGTACACACATACACATACACCTTTATCTTGTGTGTACGTAGGTATATGTATCTTATACCATGGCAGTGTATAAATAAATAAGTAAATACATAATAAGCCAGTGTCTTCCTTCCCACTGCCGCCCACCTTTTGTTCTCTCTACTCCAGTCAAGCAACCTACTTCTCTACCGCCTATCATTTTTTGGCAAACCCACTGCCAGGAATGCCCTGCTGTTTCTCCCAGCTGCAGTTCTATGGCCCATGCCAGCAGCGCGATCCCCTTCTGTATTGCTGGCCTGGGCACAGGCCTCCTTGAGGTTTCCTGGTCTTCTCTGAGTGCCCCTCTGAGCCCAGCCAGCTCTCTCTCAGCATAGTGGCTTCCCAAAGTCAGCTCTGGTGACAATCATGTCACACTCTGCTACAGAAACAAAGCGTCCATGGATTTCTCACTCTGGCATTTAAGGCCTCCCCATTTAAGGTCACCCCAACCACCTGTTGACGCGAGTTCATCCCCTTCCCTCTATCACATACCAAGGCTCCACCCACCAGATTTTCCGCACTTTAAACATGTCCTATGCTTTCCTTCTTTCCTTTGTTCATGCTGTTCTTTCCTTCTAGAAGTGATGCTCCCTCCCCGACACCCAGCCTTCCTCCCCATTTCCACCTCTAAAAATGTCCTCACTCCTTGGTCCAGGGTGCACGCGTTAGTGGCCTCTCCTGCTGAGCACTTGCTCTGTGCTGAGCACTATAAATGCGCTCCCTCACTTCCACATTAGACCTCGTGCAGTGGGGAGTAAGAGCCACCTTCCAACTGGGAAGCTGAGGTGCCCAGGTACAAACCCAAGGCTATCTTGACTGCAGCCTTCTACTTTCAATGACCTGGCTGTGCTAAGCCCCTTGTGGACTAGCTTCTCAGGCTCAACACTACTGACATTTTGGACCAGACAATTCCATGTTATGAGGGGTTCTTGTACACGTAGGACGATCAGAAGCATCCCTGACCACTATCTATGAGATGCCAGTTAAACCCCATTCCCCCTCCCCCAATTTATGGCGAGCCAAAATGTCTGAAGACATTGCCAAATGTCCCCTGTGGGGAGGGGAGGGAAGGGCTATCAGTCCTGGTTGAGAACCAGTAGTCTAGCTTAAAGCTTGGCCACCGTTACAGCACGACGTTCTGCCCAGTATTGAAGTCACCTACTACCACTAAAAAAATCTCACGTGCAATTTGAGTCACAATTCTTTTGTACACTGCACAGCAGTAGTTCTCAAATGGATTGCATCAAAATTTTCTGGGATATTTGTTAAAAATGTCTCGCTGGGTCCTACCTTGGTAGATGCAGCGATGGGCCCCAGATGTGTGTTTTTAACAAGTTCTTTGGAGAGTTCCAACACACAGACATCCAGGAAACCAATTCTACTGATACTCCCTGAACAGCCCTGTCCAAAGAACTTTCTCCGATATTCTATATCTGCACTGTCCAAGATGTCACCATTAGCAACATGGGCAACTGGCCACTTGAAAGGATGCTAGTGCAAGTGAGGAAATGAACTTTCAATTCAACCGCATTTTAACTAATTGAAGTCGGAACAGCCACATGTGGCTGCAGAATTGGAGAGCACAGGCCCAGCTCATCTGCTACGAGCTTTCACACAGGCTCCCGTTTAATGTCACCTCCTTCCTTGTTACGGCACGTGCTGCTGAAATGCAGTGCTCAGGGGCCGCTTGCTGATGATGGAGAGGATAGGGAAGAATGACTGGACCCATGTCTAAATAATGCGCCAGAAGGGGAAACTCACGGTTTCTCATAAGCCTCAAGAGGTTTGGTATGTGCCTTTCCGGCAGGCATGGCCACAGCACACCCACCTCTTCCCTCTGGGTCAAGTGTGGCCCATTGCGGGCCACAATCACTGCCCACTGTCCCTTCTCCCTGGTTCCTGGAACAGTGATGGGTGGGCCCAGACAGCCGGTTACAAACTTACCCCCTACTGCTGGGTATGCTCCCGCAGTCCCAGCACCCCTGACTCTACCGCAGCGCAATCCTCTCCGTATCTGGAATGTCAAAGCACACCACAGCCCCACCAGAGAGTGCAACAGGGCTGTGGAATCCAAACATTTGGATGTGGTTCCAGCTCTGAATTAAGGAGCTGGGAGGCCTTGGGCATGCTCTATCTGGTTGGGGTGTCACTGTCCTCACCTGCTTAGAGCCACTTCATGAAGTGCCCACACTATTGCTGTTCCTTTGCATAAGCCAGCCTTATTCAGAAAGAGTTCGGGGCCCATGCGATGGAGGCATACTGTATTTGAGCAGAAAGTGGGAGTCGGGGGGTTGTGTATGAAGAAGCAGTAAGGGGCTTATGGCTCTACCATTTGGTGGCCCCTTGGCCCCTACTTTGCTGAGAGAGCAGACCAGTGGAGGGTGCTGCTGGGCAGAAGTATCGGCCAGAGCGGCCCTGAGGGGGCCTCCTGTCTTGAATGTGAAGAAGAGGTGCAGCAGCCCCCCATCTGGACCTGCAAGCAGCAGATGGAAGCCTCAAGCCACACGTTCACCAAGCCCTGAGCCGAGCAGGTGAGGCCAAGTGTGAACAGTTTATACAGCGCCACAAAGCAGTGCCTCTGTGTGTCTGCTCTCAATGTTGAACACAATTATGAACATGACCCCAAAGCACCCACCTTCAAAACACCTGGATTTGGACTGTGAGTAAGCAGAAATGCCAGCACCCCACCCCCAATGAAGCAGAGTGACAGCTGCCTCTGCCTGGTCCCTCTGGGACCTCTGGTGGCCGCTCCAGCACCTGCCTCGTGAGAAGCCCAGCAAGCTGGCTCCTGGGCAGAAGTGAGAGGATGGGGGTACATCTACCCAGATGAGGGGACCCCACAGCTAGAAAAAGGGACGCACGCCACATCGCCCTGTGCAGTCTGTTTGCAACCTGCCCTGTATCCTTTCTCCCAAGGGGCCCAAAGGTCAGTGGTAGCTGGATGAAACGCTAGGCATACCAGGACGATGATGAGCTCGCTGTCACCTGCACTCAGCCCAGTCTGACCTGATCGTGGGCCCAGCCTGGAGCCCTGAACAGCGCGACTCTGGGAGAATGTGAATGAAGTGATCACCACTCACCCTGGCCAGTGTGCCGCACCTTGGGAGCTGGTGGGATGGAGAGCGGGCACTGCAACCCTTCCCCTCGTTGGCAGGCACAGCGGAGATCGCCTACACCTTGTCTGCCCCTCTCCCTTGGTCCTGCTCCTATGTTTGCCCTTCAGGTTGGCTTCTGTATGTTCCTGGAACCTCAAAGGAGTCCCATGTGACAGGTGACTTCATGGGGGCTCTCTCCTGAGCTCTGGAGCCTGGCTCTGCTACTGAGAGCCGTGGGGTGCCCTAGTCAAGTTTCTGAGCCTCAGTTTCCTCATCTGTGATTTGAGTCTTATAACTGACCAACCAGGAGATACTCCTCAAACCTCCTCCTCTCGGCCACTGCTTGTCCTCTGGTGACACACAGACCATGGGATTGCTGGGGCACCTGCTCCTTGGTGAGCCTTCCTGCCCGCTGCCCCCGCCTGGGGGAAGGGTCTTGAGTCTGCTCAGAGAGCTCCTTGAGGAAGACTGGAGAGGCCCAGCTTCCCTCAAGGCCTGTGTCAGGCTCCCCTTTGCTGCAGCCCTGAGACTCACAGTGTCCTGCCTGCCCTGCCCCAGCAGCTCCATCAGGCCTCCAACATTAAGCTGTGTGCTCCTCTCGCTTTTTATTCTTATCAGCCCGAAGGTGCCCTTCCATCTTCCAAGTGCCCTTCTCTGATCTGCCAGGGATGTCTACCCTCAGAGGCCTGTGGGATCAGCGGGGGATGCTAGAGAGCTGCTGCATAGGGACAGGTCCATTCTAAAGGATGCCAGCCAGGGATCTGCGTGCCTGGTTTCTGGTGGCTTACTCAGGCGGGGACATCTGACTAGGTGCAGGGGAGGCCCAGGTGTGGGCAATGCCTTCCCCTGCTGAAACAGTTTTCATCTGATCCTCTCAAATGCCCTTAGAGAGACAGTGTCGCACATGGAATAGGGCTGGATATGGAGGAAGCAAGCCTGAGTGTGAATCCTAACTCTGTAACTGCTGTGTGACACTGGGCAAACCAGACTACCTCTCTGAACCTCCATTTCAGCATCTAGGTGTCTCTTCAGGTTGAGGCTGGTCAGTGGGTGATGTGCAACTGTCCCACAGATTGGTGGGGAGCCTGAGGGGCTATTCAGGGCTGGGCAGAGAAGGCAGGCGGGACAAGGAGGGGGCATCTGTCTGAAGGGGGTAGCTGTCTCGAGTAGACTGAACCATGTTGAGATCATATCCCCAGTAACAGAGCCTTCCTTGCAGTGGAGACTCTGCCTGTGTTCATGAAACCCACACCCATGCTCACTGTAAAGAGGGGCAGTCGCTGTTCTCACTCCCCACCACACAGCATCACTCTGTGCACACCCCTTTGGTATCTTCCTGCTATTCTGGAAGAAGTAGATGGCTAGAGCCAGATGGGGCTCCAAACCATGGGGTTCAGCTGCATCCTGTCTAGAGGAGGCCCTGTGCCATTTGCGGCAGACCAGGGAAGGCCGGGCAGGGACTGGGCGAGTGTCTGTCCACTGCAAGTGAATAAATGGCTCCTATACATCTTTTCACTTACTTGTCAAAGGAAAAGGATACTTCCTTCTTTGCTTTTCTCCTGGACATTCTCCATTCCAGGTAGAGCCGACGCCACACGTCGAAAAAGCTGGAAAGATGAAGAAATGCAGCGTGAACCCCAACCCTGGCCCTCCCCTCTGCTCCTCACTGCGCCTGTACCCTCTCCCCTCTTCCCCTCCCAACCTGCAGCTTTACTCTCCCATCTGCCCAGCGGACGGTGCCCTCAAAGGCAGGGGCTGTGCCTACATTCTCTCTCCCCCACCTGCAGTGCCTCTCACAGCATCAGGTCTGGGCAGGCCTCAGTAGCTCATGGAAGGAACAAAGCTGTGGACTCTTGCCCAAGCAGACTGGCCACAAGGTCACTGGGGTAAGCTTAGGTCATGGCAGTGACTGCAAAGGACCCGCTCTGGTGCAGAAAATGGTTTGGGCCTCCAGGTACAGGCCTTAAGGTGGATTTGTGCACACAGCCCTCATGGGGACCAGGCGTGGGGAACTGATACGACCTTGAGATGAATGACTCTGCTCAGGGAGCCCTGCAGGTCCGGTGCCAAGGCAGCGAACAGCAGGGCCCGGGCCACATGGCACAGCAGTGAGGCTTCTCTGAGAGCGCTAGGGATGCAGGAGTGTGAACACAATCTTTTGGGCTTGTTTGGATGTGGAGTGTGAGTTGTTGACTGTGGGAGTGTGTGTACAGTGTATGTGTTTTATCTGTAGGACTGCGTGGAGAATGTGTGTGTTGTGAGTGATAGGTGTGGGTAGGTGCATGTGTGTCTGTGTAAACATACGGGAGAATGTGTGGTGTGTGTGAATGTGTGGTATCTTTGTGTGCGTGTTTGTGTAAATGTGGGGGGAATGTGTCTATAGTGTCTCCTTGGTAAGGTGCGTGTCTGCGTACATGTGGGTTTTCTGTGTGTGTGTGTGTGCGCGCGCGCGTGTTGGGGCAGGCATGGGTGGCAGGGGACAGGTGGCAAGTGGCAGATAGGGTGCGGGCAGAGATGGAATCTTGGAGGTGACAAGTACAAGGCAAAAGTATGAGGCACAGAAGACTCTGAACGGCTATGCTCCAAATGCTGGTCCCCTGCAAATTCCTATGTTGAAACAGAATCTCCAATGTGACAGTATAAAGAGGTGGGACTTTAGGAGGTGCTTAGTCAGGAGGGTAGAGCCCTCATGAACGGGATGAGCGCCCTTAGGAATGAGGCCCGAGGGAGCCTGTCTGCCCCTTCCACATTGTGAGGATGCAGCAGGAAGGTGCCATCTAGGAGAAAATGGGCCCTCACCAGACTGAATCTGCCTGCACCTTGACTGTCGAGTTCCCAGCCTCCAGAGCTGTGAGCAATACATTTCTGTTGTTTATACGCTACCCCACCTATAGTGATTTGTTACAGTAGCCTGACAGGACTAACCCAGGAGCACTCCCTGCTCTCCTCACAAATACGAATTACAGGAGCTGGGTGGGCTCTGGGCTCATGCCCTCCACTGCATGAGCTCTCTGAAGACAGGGTGAGTCTTATTCATGGCCTCACCCCAGAGCCCAGCCCCAGCTAAGCACCCGGGCTGAGTGACAGGGCTAAAGGCCGTGAGGGCCCAAGGCGGGAAGCTCCTGGTGGGCCCAGCACGGTGTGAGAGCCTTGTGGGCGGGCTGCAGAGGAGGCTCTGCGGTAGGGTAGCTATTAGTAGGCAAGGGTACAAAGGACCTGGGCCATCCTTCCTGAGCTTTCCTTCATGGCATTGGCCCTGGGCGGCTCCTATCTGCCTGTCTGGCTCTCAAAACGGTCACAGCCCTGACTAGTGGCCCAAATGCCACTAGGGATTTTGAAGGGTGCTCTAGGGTCAGGTACGGGTTTCTGTGAGTGGAAATGCTCACATTTAGATCCAGGAGTCTGCACTGCATGGAGACTCCCCTGAGCCACGTAGGGTCCGAAACGGACCACATTTAACTCCTGCTAAACCACTGCGTGGGTTCCAGAGCACTCTGGGGGTGGGGGCATCAGTGCCTCCCTGACCCTGACTGCTGAGGCAGATGCTACCTGCCCTATGGACCTGCTGGTGCTGCCCTCCCTCTGCTTCCCTGCTTCCCATTACTTTAGCGCTCCCAAAGAGCAGCAGCCCAGTCTCTCCTCCATGGCCCCCGGGAGCAGGAAGGACCATGGCAGCTTCAGCCCCACACCAAGGGAGGCTGGGAACAGATGGGAGTGAGTGGAGCCCTGCTGAGGGCACTCCAGTTAGGGTGGGGTACTGAGTCCTGGAGCTTTGGGGCCCCCAGTGTCACACAGTGTCCCTTCCACTCTGTCTCTTCTTGTCGCTCTGCCAGCCCACCCTCCCCATTGCCACCAGCACTGTTCGCACAGGGCAAACCATCACTGCATCCAAAAGGCCAGTGCTGCATACACAGCTTGCCGAGGGTTCCCAGCAATGCGGGGGGCAGGGCAGAAGCGAACGCCAGGCCAACCACACTCCTCATCCAGAGTCCCCTCCCCACACCTCGGGCACCCTGCAGCCACACCTGTGCTGCTCCCCTGCTTGGCATGCCCTCCCTCCTCACCACCTCTCCAAGTCCTATTCGCATCCCCAGTGGCAGGAGTTCTCAACCTTTCCGTGAGCCAAGGACCACTCTGGCAGTCTGGTGAAGCCCATGGACTCCTTTGAAGTATGTGAAATCAATGACATAGGATGATAAAGGGAACTACTGAGTACTGGAATACACCTCATCGACATTCGTGCTTCCTTATGAACACATTGAACAGTGAGAACTAGTAAGAGATCTAATAACTACTGTGACACTGAAACACTGATGCATGTAAAGTTCAAGGTATCTGCAACACTGTGAGGTGATGGGAAGGCATCTGTGATTTCTACTGGTGGTAAAGCCATAGGCACCACTAATACGACTGAGCGTCATTGCCTACATTAATCATTGCAGGACAAACAGACATCCTTCAGTGCTATGGATGGGTTAGTGGTTAGTGAAGATAAAAGGTGCAATGTTTTCCAGCCCTGTCTGCTGACCTGCTAAATTCCATCCATGGACCACTCAGGGGCCCTCATGCTGCAAGGCTCGGCCCTAACTCCACTGCCTCGCCCTCCTGTGAGTTCCAGCCACACCATGGTGGGCTCTTTTCTCCAGGCCTGAGTTGCCCTCCACAGCCCTAAGCACTTGCTAAGTGCAAGGCATGAACCCCAAATGCTGATCGGATTGAATTTTCCTGCATGCGTCATCCGAAGTGGGGTGAGGGGCTAGGGAACCACTGCTTCCCTCAGCCACCTGGAAGCTGGTGGCTGGACACTCTTAGGGACTGCTACGTGGGCTGTGATTGGCCACTGCTATGGTGGCTGGTGACTTACATTCTCCAGTCGCCATGCCCGGAGTGCTCCCTCCCTCTCTTGGGCTTTACCAGCTCCAGAAATTAGCTCTCCCCGCCCTGGGCGCATCTATGGGTGTTCTGGTTGGCTGCCCCAACCCCGCCACCAGCCCCTCAGGGCAAGGCAGGTCTGAGCCTGAGGCTGACCACAGGACCACACCGTGCCAGGCCCGGTGCCAGGTGTGTCCTCACCTGCTTCACATTGTAGCCAGTCTTCGCGCTGGTCTCAATGAACATGACGCTCAGTTCTTTGGCGCGCTGCTCCCCCTCCTCGATGGTTATCTGCCTAGAGATGAAGGGAAGGGGGGAAATCAGTTCAGCAGAGGAGCAGCCCCTGGCAGAGATGAGGAGGGACCCGCCCAGCATGGCAGAGGGAGCCCACCAGGCCCTTGGTCAGCCCTGAAGACAGGCTCTGATCCCAGGGGTCCCTCCTGGGCACCAACCATAGTCTCTAGCACAAAGCGAGCACCAGGGAAAAGCAGGACACTATCCCCTTCCCCCACTCCTTCCTTCGTGTCTTCTCAGCTTCAAAGCAGGCCCTGGGGTAGGGATGCCCCACGCCTGCCTTTCCCAGTAGTAATTACTGCAGAGCTTGTGCTTGTGAAGAGATTCAAGCCACACAGTCCACTCTGGGTGGTGCTATTAGTCGCATTTTCCGTATGAGAACACTAATGCTAAAAGTGTCTCCCCCGGGGCCACAAAGCTGCTTAGCAGAGAGGGCTCCATGATGGGGCAGGCAGAAGTGGGTGAGGGTATGAAGGGCCTAGGTGCCCTTTGTACTGGGATTTGAGCCCAGTTTTCCTTACTTTAAGGACAGAACTCTAGTAAAGCAGGCTCTAATTCAGATGATTCCTCAGGTGCTCAAGGGACACTGAGGAAGCCTGCACTGCTTGCTGGAGTCCATGGCCTGTCACTTTATCTGCCCAAGTCAGGGTCACGTGAAACGAGTGGACAGCGTACACACATGGCACCTCAGTTCTCCCTGTGCATGGAGGGCAGCATGGAGGAGACTCTTCAGAGAAAGCTTCATGCCAGATGCAGCCACAAACCAGGCTAAGCAGGCTACAGCTATAGGTTTGTGGTCTGAATGCTCTGCATGCTCACACCTAGGGCCCAGGGTGTTCACACCCCCATGCACACTGGTGCAGACACTTCACAGGCACAGACAGTTCACAGTACACACACTGGGGCTTAGGGAACTGCTGTGTCTGGGGCAGTGCTGTGGCCATGGCAGGGTCTTAGACCATGCACTGCTGGGCCAAGCCAGGTGCACAGGGCTCTGTATAGACAGCACACGGAGGATTGCCCCGCCCCTGCCTGGTGGTGGAAGACAGGGCTTCACAGATGAGACACCCAGGGGTGAGAGTCTACCAGGTGTTCTCAAAGCTCCTAGTGTCTCAAGGGACCTTTTCCGGATGCATGGTCAGAAGCACAGACACACCACCCACGCATCCCAGAGCTCCCCGTCCAGGAGCAGCTGGAGAGGAGTGGAGGGTGGTACCCTGCACCTGTGTGCCCTTTGCACCTACCTCTTATCAGCCAGGTCCGTCTTGTTGCCCACCAGCATGATGATAACATCACTGCCCCTCTCTGTCCTGACGTCGTCGATCCACTTAGAGGTCTGTTGGAAGGAGTTGAGATCTGGAGGCAGAAAGTGAGGAAAAACTGAAAGCCAGGGCCAGCCACCAGCAGGAGATGGGAAGGGGATGTGTGAGCCAGGAGCAGGAGGGAGGGTGAGCATGTGCCCTCAGATACCCAGGGAGGGTATGAGCTCAGTCAACACAGATCAGCCGGGTAGGGCCTTTCAGAGGGAACCGGGCCCTGCCCTGCAGCCCTGGGAGCCGCCTGCACTGTTTAGCCGCCCTTTGTGGGAGAGGAATCACCCCATCTGGAAGATCATGGCGTCATGATTTGCTACATGAAATAGTGGCTTTAGGGGCCCGCCTGAGAGTCAGACCTGACTCTGGGGATTCAGAGTGGAGTGTGAGAACTGGGTCACACGTGTGTGCATATACACACACACACACACACACAACTTGGCAAGTTTGGAAACAGTGAGGGGTGGGCAGAGGAGGACACAGAAGCCTCTAGGGAAGGAAGGACCCTACTGAGTGGCCTCCCCACCAGGGGAGCTCAGGAGAGTTAGGGGAAGGCCAGAGGGATTTCTGAAGAGAACCCTCAGGCTCTGCAGGTGAGAGGAGGGGAAAGGTGGCCCCAGGACTAGTCAGGGGAGCCAGGTGCACTCAAAAATCCAGGAGAGACAAGGCCACTTCTTGGCAGCCTGACCTCCCTCAGCTGCCATGACAAGCCTTGCAGGGCAGAGCAGCTCTAAGGCAAAGCCCACCACTCCGCAGCCTGCACACCCAAGGGGAGGGGAGGCAGCTGTCCTCAGAAGCCTCAGTTTCACACAGCCTGGTATCCCTTCTGATGCGCCTCAGGCCATGTGAACTCAGGCCCTTATGGGCCCAGCTCCCACCTGCACTCAGGTGTGGATGGGGCCTGTGGTCAGAAGAGGGGTGGACAGAGGGGGCGGGCAGAGCCAGGGCAGCAGGATGGGTGGTGGGGGCATGCACCAGCGTGGGGTCACACATGCTTCCTTGTGTGATTTTAGGGCTGTGGACAGCACCTAGGGCATCCGCCCACTTCATGGTAACCACAGCCCTGAGGGCTTATCAGGTGTGTTCCATTACAGCAGCCTTGCAGGTCTGGCTTCTGCATCGGCCCCCGCCCCCACCTCTGGCCCTGTGCGCCCTCGAGGCTGTGCAGTCCTGTTAAGAACACCTGCTCTGGCCTGAAGAGCCACGGTGCTGGAGAAGGATTACCAGTCTACTGCGCTTCCAGACCCCCTTGGCCTACCTTCCCAGGGAGTCCTGCACCCACAGCTGCTGGGCCGGGGTTGACCTAGGGACCAGCGTCTTCTCCCATGGTGACACACATACAGAAGTAGCTCCTTAGGGAGCTTTCTGACAGCCAGGGAGAGGGAGGGTGCAGAGAGGCTGGAGCAGGGCCGACCTTGTGAGCATCTGCTCACACCACATGCTGGCCCCTGCTCTGAGCAGGGCCAACCTGGCCCTGTAAACCCCTGCCTGTTGCAGGAGGGTGGGGGGCAGTGGAAAACATGTTGGTGTTCAAAGGCAACTCACCACTGCTCCCTGCCTTTCTCCATTTAGGGAGCAATCGCACACACGTGTGCACACAGATGCATGTGCACAAACATGCATACACACACACGCATACACACAGGCCTGGCCACAGTCACACCCGGGCCCTGGAACCCCCAATGAGCCACCCTCCCTTAGGCACAGACGCTCACTCACTTGTGATGTCGTACACCACCACAGCCACTGTGGAGTCCCGGATGTAGCTGGGGATCAGGCTGCGGAACCTCTCCTGACCAGCTGTGTCCCAGAGCTGCAGTCGCACCTGTCTCAGGGAGGGTAGGACCACAGGCAGACGGGTCAGCGGGGCAGTGAGGTCCTCCTGGTCCGGGGAACTGGGAGAGCCAGGCTCTGCAATGCTGGCAGCACCAGCTCCAGTCCCCAGTGTCGGCAGGGGCTCTCAGTGGTGACCAGCTAAAGATCCTAGGGGATAAGCCCAAAGGAACCCTCCCTGTCCCTCCCAGTCCTAATATTAGGTGCTCACCGTGCGGTCCTCCAAGTACATGGTTTTTGACAAGAAGTCAATCCCAATGGTTGCCTGTTAGAGAAAAGCACAGAACAGTCAAAACCAAAAGGTCTCATGCAAAGGGGCAAAAGCCTGGTGACCGCAGGTGGTGGCGTAACCAGCAAGAGGGGACGTCCATGTCAGGTCTAACGTGGCCATCCTCTGTCCTCCCTGCCCCTCCACCCACTACTCAGCAGCCCTCTTACTGAGGGATCAAGCTGAGGAAAGATGGGGGTGGCCTTTATAGGGCGAGATCCTCTCTGGAGAGGGAAAGTGCTTCGGGAGCAGTGAGAGCACCGTGGTGAGGAGGCCGCCCCAGGAGCAAGGCCACTCAGGCCACTCAACACACATATCCTGCCCTCCCCACCTGGGCTCCCTGCCTTGTTCCCCTCATGGCCTAATCTGCAGCTTCCAAAGCCTCTTCCCGCTGCCCTAAAGCATGGCCCTGGGCTCAACACAGGCCTCGGGAGGGTGGGAGGAGGCAGCTTGCTGCTGTGTGGGGGCAAACAGCAGCATGGCTTTTCTCAGGTGCGGGCACTGCAGACCACCCAGAGTGGCCTCTCGCTGGGAGGCCCCACTGGCTCTTTTCTTCTCAAGCCAAAACGTTGGAAGCTGTCACCAGCTCCCCTGTGCCACACCTATGCCTCTTCTGCCCTGGCACCTGCGAGAGGCAGCCAGTCTTGTGGCCAGATGGCCAGGATTCTGTGTGTCCTTGGGCAGGCCACCAACCTCTCTGGGCCTCACATGCACCCAGTACCTGTCAGTAGGACTGAGATGCTGTCAATGTAAGATGGAGATATCATTGCTATGTAATCAATAATAACAAAGACTTTGACACAGCCCAAATGTCCAAGGCACTGAATAAGCATAGTGTGGTACATCCATGTGATTAGAATCCTTGGCAGCTGTTAACAATCACATTCTTGAAAACATATTTAAGGCTTTGGGGAAATGGTCATCCAGTTAAAAAAAAAACCAGGTTATAAAACATCATGTGGTGAGTGATCCCAATTAGATTAACTCAAGTAGATCTATGAGTATTATTCATGTTTTCTTCAACAATGAAGTGAAGGGAATCTGCTAAAACGTTAATAGCATCACAGTCTGAATAGTGGCAGTGCATTTTGTTTCCTTCATTACACTTTTCTCTACTTTCCACAATGAACATATAACAGTTCTAAAATTAGGAAAAGTCCTTTGAAATAAAGTTTAATAAATAAGTTTAATTGTGTGGAATGCTATGATTTTCGACTGCAAAAAACAAAACCAAAGGAAGCCCAAGAAAATAGAAAAGGTCATGTCTCCAGGCCCCCCAGGCTGAATGCAAAGGTGTGCACCAATGTGTGTGTACAAGTGTACATGTTTACATAGTCACACTCCTAAATCGTTCCACAAAGGACTGAGGGTGGCTGCATCCTCCTGGAAGCTTGCTTCATAACACAAAGATATGGAGAGTGATTCTATGTTCTGGAGCATATGATGCTAGAATGAGGGCACTAGACAAGCACCTTAGATACAACCCAATCAATCCCTTACTTTGGCGATGAAAGAACAGACCAAGAGGGTTAAAGGACATGCCTAGTGTGACTTCACTCATCAGGAGCAGGGCTGGGAAGATCAGAGCTGCAACCTCGGCAGCACCTGGGCTCTTTCCAGCCCAGCTTCGCATATTGTAGCCACCGAGGGACAAATCTGCAATGACCAGTGCTTGTGGATGCAGACTTTTTCCTTCACAGGTATATGTTAGATTGACAATCCTTGTCTTCTGATTCCCTTATGGAGAAATGTGCATAGCAGGTAGAAGTCTCTCAACTCCTCAGTGCTCAACAGGTTCCCCAGGAGTGACATGCTCCTTTTGTAGAGTCACCCTTGAAAGAAAACCAGGTGCATGAGCTTAGGTCTGGTGGCAGGGACCGTTGGTTGTCCCCAGTATGTAGTCTCCCTTTCTATAGTAACAGAATTCTGGGTGTGCAGATGGACTCAGGGCTGCCCCAAATAAAGACCATATTTCCCAGCCTTCTTTGCAGCTGGGTGGCTACGTTCTGGTTAATGGGATGTGAAGGTGATGCAGGCATATTTGGGGACAGGTCCTCTGTGGGCAAGGAGTACCCACAGCTGCTCCCTTTCCCACTGTCCGGTGGGGATGAGTCATAGTGGCCCATCCAGATGAGGGTGACAGAGGAGCGATGACATCAACAAAGCCTGACTCCCTGACCCTGAGGAGCTACTTCAGCAGCGCTGGACTGCTCAATTGTTCTATTTTGTTTAAGCCACTGTTATTTTGGGTTTCTGTTAACATAGCCTAACTATAGCCTAACTAACAAGCAAAGAACCACGGAGAAATGTATCCCTCAAAGGTAGGCACCCAATGGTAATGCTACTGATAACTGTAATGATGACAATCCCATCACACCTCACATGTCACAAGGCACTTCTGCTTCCATGAAGGGCAGAGAAGTCACCAAATGAAACAAGGAATTGTGCTACTTGGATGAAGTCCCAGCAAAGCTCAACCCAGTGGCCTCCATAATCATAAACACCATTACTGAACATCCATATACTTTCTCTCACATCCCATAACAGCTTGACCAGAGGCAGCAACGAGGAAACTGAACGAGGCCAACATCCCATTTTCTCCAGCTCTCTCTTAATTCCCACTTCCAGCTTCCCCATCAGAGAAACTTCTGGTCCCTTAACTGTCCACTCTCTCAGACCTGTTCTAGCCACACTCTCCATCTGACCAGGCCACTGAGCCACTGAAGAACTTCCATAGTTGTGGAGATGGCGCCAAAGCATTGGCATTGTCTCTGGGTGTAACTGAGCCCTCAGCTCTGCTCAAAAACATATTCCTAAGTTTTGCTTTCAATAATGGCTGAGTGGCTTGTATCAAACAAACCCTCGCACAGAAAACTATTTTAATATCTGGAAAAAACAAGAAATAACAATTTGCAAGCACTGAAGAATGATCAAAAGCAGGACGAGGCAGGGCGCAGTGGCTCATGCCTATAATCCCAGCACTTTGAAAGGCCGAGGCATAAGGATCACTTGAACCCAGGAGTTTGAGAGCAGCCTGTGTAATATAGTGAGACTCTGCCTCTATAAAAAATAAAAAATAAAAATTAATCAGGTGCAGGGGTGCCCACCTGTAGTCCCAGCTACCTGTGAGGCTGAGGGGGAAGAATTGCTTGAGGCTGGTGGGGCTGAGGGTGCAGTGAGCCATGATGACACTACTATACTCCAGGTTGGTCAACAGAGCAAGACTCTGGCTCAGAAGAAAAAAACAAAACAAAACAAAACAAAAACGTACTCAGAGGTTACAATCGCTGAAGGAATGGAAGAGAACTAGGTAGATTCTACATTAAATCAATTTGCCTCCTGAAGAAACTCCCCAGTCCCACCAAATTAAAAGAATTTCAAAAACACCTCAGACTCCACTGAAACACCAGAAAGGCTGGCTTTGGGAGGAACAAGATCATCTCAGGACTGAGGGTTACACCAGAGGACTAAGAGAAAACCAAAATAAATCTATTGCTATGGTCTGAATGTGTCCCCTGCAACCTCAAATTCAAATGCTGAAACTTAATCCTCAATGTGACAGTATTAAAAGGCACATCCTTTGTGGAAATGATTAAGTCATGAGGACTCTGACTTCTTGAATAGGATTAGAACCCTTATAAAAGAGGCTTAAGGGAGTGCCCTGGCTCCCCTCTGCCGTGTGAGGACACAGTGTTCGTCCCTTCCACCACGGAGGACACAGCATAAAGGTGACATTTTTGAAGCAGAAAGCAAGTCCTCACCAGATGCAGAATCTGCTGGAGGCTTGATCTTGGAAGGAAATCCCAGACTCCTGAATTGTGAGCAATAAATGTCAATTGCTTATACATTACCCAGTCTATTTTGTTATAGCAACCTGAATGGATGAAGACATCTGTCTTAACAAGGTCCATACATGATAACTAACCATTCCGTAAAATATATTAACTGCCCATCATTTAATTGCCTATTAAAATAAAACAACACTCTTCAGAGGAAGGTAACAAAATCCAGGACTATAACTTATTATTCATGAGGTCCACTGTATAATAAAAAAGGACTAGAAATGTGAAGAAACAGAAAATTCAAGCCATAATCAAGGGAAAAAGCTCAACAGACCCCTACACGACCCAAATGTTGAATTAGTAGACAAAGACTTTAAAAGTCTTATAAATATGTAAAAAAAAAAATTAAAAATAAACAATGGGTGACTGTCAAGAGATTTATGAAAATTCTAAAAACGAAATGGAACTTTTAACACTAAAAATTATAATATCTGAAATTAAAATGTATTGGATTTAAACAACAGTAGCTAGGACACTGCAGAGGAAAGCTCAGTGAACCTGAAGACAGGCCAAAATAAATTGCTCAAACTGAAGCACAGAGAGAAAAATGATGCAATAAAAATAAAGAGAGCTTCAAGCACTCCTAGGACAATATGAAGTGAGCTGATATAAATGCAATTAGAGGCCAGGCATGGTGACTCATGCCTAAATCCTAGCACTCTGGGAGGCCGAGGCAAGCAGATCACCTGAGGTCAGGAGTTTGAGACCAGCCTGCCCAACACAGTGAAACCCCATCTCTACTAAAAATATAAAAATTAGCCGGGTATCTTGGCAGGCGCCTGTAATCCCAGCTACTTAGGAGGATGAGGCAGGAGACTCATTTGAATCTGGGAGGCAGAGGTTGCAGTGAACTGAGATCACACCACTGCACTCCAGCCTGGGCAACAGAGCAAGACTGCATCCCCCAAAAAATAATAAAATAAAAAACGGAACTAGAGTCTCAGAAGGACAGCAGAAACAGATGCAAGCAAAAAACATCTTGAGAATAGCCCCAATTTCCCCCAAGTTAATTAGAAACATCAACCCACGGTTCCAAGAAGTTCAGTGAACCTAAAACAGGGTAAATCTGTAAAAAACTAAACCAAGGTATGTCATAGTCAAATTGCTGAAAATAAAAAAATAGAAAACCGTAATAGCAGCCAGAAAACAGAACAA